GCTATAGGCCAATAGGCAAGAACAGTAAAACTCTCAACCATTCTATATTCAATAGGCAGGAGTAGCCAAACCAAGGCATGGGAGCTGCAAATGGCTGTTTGAGGGTTTTTTTGTGACTTGTGGCTCACCACCTGTGAGCCCACTTGCCACTCTCAAATATTTGACACTTACTGTATGTGGCTCTTCTGTTGAGCAGGTTTGTCCACCCCAGGTATAAAATGCATCAAAAGCATTTGGGGAACAGCAAGGGAATGAGCAAAGGACACGTGATAAGAACAATCCAGGGATTGAGAAAATAAGCCACGGATTGTTGAATTGTCTTTGAAACAAACCCTGCTTAGGGCAGCAAGAATTGGTCTAATAAAGCATGATCAACATTCTGTTCAAGCTTGGCTGTTGTAGCAAGAACAAGACTATGGATCTGTTGAGATAAAAATTGAAAGCCCATTTTGTACTTTTTTTTGGCTTCCCAGAAACGAAATTCCATTGCTATCTGTCTGCATTTCAGACGTTCTCCTTAGAAACTCTTTGATTTTTTTCCTCAACTCTTTCCTTATAAACTCTGGACAACAACAGTCAGGTGTGCCAAGTCTGGCTGGATCTCCTTCATTTTCTAGCAGGTGTAAGAGGAGGATGAGCATGACAGTTATATTTTGTCAGGCTTAAATCTAAAAAGGGACAGCATATTTTCTTTCCTAATATTATTTATTCTGCTTTTGAAAAATGGTATTAAACTAATAACAATATATGTATGTACTTTACTTGAATGATAATGCTTTGATACTTAACAGGTGTATTACATTAATTAATGCATTTTAAAGCAGAGCTGTTTTCAGATTCCTTATGGACTATTTGAGAGGGGAAAAAAGGATTTTCTGCATTACTTATAATGCAACCTGCTTTTTGATTGGGGATGCCATACGATATTATCAGATTCTCTTGAGACTGGACTCACACGGCACTTGAGAGATATTTTGAGAGCTAGTGTTTTCCTGTTTATACAGAGCAAGTGAGAGAATGGAAAGTGAGCACTGGCTGCACCATAAATCACTAAGACAAATACCAAGAGATTAGTGTGAAGTTCATCGTCCCAGCCATTTTGGTGCAGTCATACGATTAACCCAGTCAGAAAACAAAATGAGAACTAGGGTTGAAAAACAAATCATCTGGCACAAATCATAACATGCCTACACTTTTGCCCAAACTTGGCCTTCATGACACATGGGCTACCAAGCCAAATGCAGTCCACACAATGTAGCTTGCCACATCCTTGACAATCCCCTGTCCCTGGAGCCTCCTACAGGTAGGTTGCAGAGTTTGGTTTATTTCTTCATGAGACAGTTGCCATACATGGCCGCACTCACCATTTACACATTCATGGTGAGTGCATATGGACCTGCATTCACTTTGGTAGGTCACGAAGTATATGGGACTGACAAATGTCTCTTTGACCTCAAAAGCTACCAAACTCGTTACTGAGAAAGCCAGTTTCAGAGCATGTATATTGCCTTTCCTAGCATATGGGACCCCACAATCAGTCAGATTTGCTGGGGAAGCAGACAGCTGGGCTTTCCCCACCACTTCTTATCTGCTGGCTGTGAAAAGCTGTTGCTGGCAAAAATGGAACAGCTAGTGCAAGACAGAATCCTATTCCGATTCTCCCCATAGGAAAATTCACCCCCCCCACACACACACTAAAAATCTTTTGATCCATGGGAAGCCTTCACTAGTTCACATTCTTAAAATTTATTAACTTTATCCGGTCTCAAGAAAAGGTATTGCTTACACATGCATTGTAGAGGGGACTTTTGGTTAGCCAGGAGATATTGAGAACATAAATAATGCTTGGCTGGTACAAAGCAAAGGCAGACTTTATAAAACATACTTCTTTTCTGAAAGAACAAGACACTCAGTTCTATTTGAATGTAGCTTCTGCAAACATTGCTGAAAATAGTAATGAAAAGTAAGGCAACTGATTTGTGTTGACCCTTAGCAACTCTTCTCTCCTTTCAAAGCCTACTTTTTTCAGTCAGCAAATGCTGAGCTCTTCTGATCCTCTGAGATGTTTTGAACTTATCAGATCAGCTGCTGCTTTAATTTACTGCAAGATATAATCTTATTTGTGCCAGGCCAATTCTTAAAATGTTAGAGAAAAGGATATTTCAGGCTTAGGGATAGAAACTGCCTTGGGCCAAATGGGTGCCTTCACCTCCCCACCATGACCTGTGCTCCTCAATCCAGATTTTTAAAAATTGCCTTTTTAAATTGTGACATGACAGAAAGAATGATAGTTTCTTTTGAGAACAAGAACAAGGTAAGAATAGAACTCCGGAAAATTCAGTGATTAAGCTGCATCTGGAAGAACTCCTAAAGCCTGCTCACTCAAAGACTTTCCCTGACTAAGCGTGGATTTTTCATCATCAGCTTATAATTACTTAAGTCCTCCTATAAAAAAACAAACATGCCAAAACTAAAACCAAAGCCTTGCATGTACTATAACAGCTTTACTGAAGAATCAAACCTTAGAACATTGTATTATGGACTATAGTTGGACTCTTCGCTTTGTCCTTTCCTTTGCTCTGCTTTTCAATTTAAGAATCATATTTATTTGCCTATAGAAGAAGTGTTTGTTTATACTGCAGCTATTAAAATAAGTAGAACAGAATGGGGTGCTTATTGCTACAGGATGATTAGCAATTTAAACAGTTTAAAGTGCTCTGAAAAAATAACTACTCTAAGTTAGCCTTTAGTCTTCTGAAGCCCTCACAATGCTTGCTATCATAATGGCTTCTTCTTCTTGAAATCTTGTTGACAAATGATGGAATTAGCACAAAAGAACTATAAACCTGGAATTACTCCTTGACTGGAGCTATTCCTGGAAACCCTGGTGGCATTGGTGGCAAGGAGTGCTTTCCTTCACCTAAGGCTGGTTCATCAGCTGTGCCCTTACCTGGACAAACATGCCCTAGCAACAGTGGCTCACACACTGGTAATCTCTCATTTGGAGCACTGTAATAATTTTACATGGGGCTGACCTTGAAGATGGTACAGATGTTGTGATTAGTTCAAAATACAGCTTCTAGATTTTTCACTAGGATTGTTTAATGAGAACACATTATGCCAGTCCTATACCAGCTACACTGACTATGAAGTGAAGTCCAGGCCCAATTTAAGGTGCTAATGATGACATATATAGCCCTGTATGATTTAGGACCTGGTTATTTAAGGGAACATCTCCTTCCATATGAGTCTGCCTGGACCTTATTCATCAGCAAAGGTCTTTCTCTGAAAGCCTCAATGAAAGAGGGCTTTTATGAGGAGGTCTGTTATGAGGAGAAGGGCCTTTTCTGTTATAGAGATCTGATTATGGAACCCACTCCTGAGAGTGGTGCACCTGGTGCCGATGCTTTATTTGTTCTGGCACCAGGCCAAAACCTTTTTAATTTAACGGTCTTTAAATTGTTAAATAGTATTTTAATTATTGTAACATCTAGTACTGACACTAAGGGGTGTTTAATTACTTTATTGTTTGAACTAATTGTTTTTAGAATGTTGTAAACCCTCAGGAGATTTTTAATGAATGTCAGTATAGAGAAACTTAAATAAATAAGCACACAAACCTATTTTGTTTGTGGTATCCCTTGGTTCACTGTATCATTAACATCTTTCTTTGTTATATTAAACAAATATACTAGTCATTTAATTCCTGATGTTCATACCAAATGTTCTGGTAACTTGACTTTTACATAGCTCATTACATAAGTTAAGATACTCTCCAAGAAGGAAGACTGACTGAGAAGATCCCTGCTTTTCTCTTCCTCTGGCGTAGCCCTCAGCTTCTAGGCACTGGGGAGTGGGTTATTGGGGTGTGGCGGGAAGTTGGCTAGCAGCATGTGCCTCTTCCATAAAAATGCCCCACCTAGAAATGTGGCTGCACCACTTCACAAGGAAAGCTAGCAACAAGGCTGACCTGCAGTGTTTTGTACCTTGCAGCATCATTTTTCACTAACCAACCTGCTATTTACTTAGTTCAACAATTTAAAAAGTGTCCAAGAATCAAAGTAGCTGTATGATAGAAAGTTTTTTTGGATCTACCGGAAACTCTGGAGAATTCACAGCTATAGGAACTATGTGAATAATCCTACAAGAAATGTCACTAGTTTTATTTAAACTCTTGATAATGTCCCTTGAACATTTCCAGATGTTCTGCACTAGATTGCATTTGATGCCAACCTGAAAAAAAGGACAATTGCCCACAAGTTACTGAAGATCCTCCAAATCCCATACACTTAGTGGATATAGTTCATTCATACTTGACTCTTGAATGTTACAGTCCAGCAGTGGGACTAGAGAGGAAATAACAGCTGGACTACATGCTATACTGTTCACATGAAAAGTAGCTACCTGTGAGCCAGGTTCTGATTTTTCAGAATTGTAGAGGCTCTCCTGGTGTCAAGCCAAGATAGCAGGAAAGACTGAAATCACACACCCACACAATAAGAGAGAAACCCAGGATTCCTTGCTCTGCTTCTTAAGCCCACGTTAGAGTGAGGGGTTGCGAGATGAAGGGATAAGGGCAATCAGCTGCTAAAGAGTAAGGGAATAAGCATAGATAAACAACTGAAGGAGAAGGTAACCAACTCTATAATCAGCTTTCTATGTGTGGATCCTGGGAACCCTTCAGAATTCATATCAATCAGTGACTGCTATTCACATGGGAAGTGTAATTTGTATCCAGGCTACAGTCCTTCTTGTTGCCCTGAAAACATTATCTGCTGCTAGTATTGGTAGCACGGAATTATTTTACTTCCCATGATGCATTTTTCTGTGCTTTTAGGCCTGCCATACTTTGTGTCTCATCAAACTCACTCTGGTTTTCCTGCTTTACCTATTGGTTCTTCACCTATTTTTTAGGTTTTCCTATGTTTTGTCTTGTTGGTTACTTGAACTATCTCCACATCTAGCAGAGAATCCTGAAAAAGACAGACGCATCACTGTACCTTCCATAAGTTTCCCTGTTTGCTCAGCACTTCCACCAGGTAGGATCTTAGCAATGTAAGCACCAATTTCTCCATTGGTTCCAGGAATTTCTTTCCCACCTACAACTCGTATTCCAAGTCCATTGCCTGCATTCAAGAAAAAAAATACACACACAATGAAAAATGTGTGAAAAAATAGAATTTGCTTTCTATTTATTATTTTAATTATTGCACTAGTGCAATGCTATATTTGTCTTCTCAGAAGGAGACTTCATTCTATTCAGTGGCCTTACTCCCAAGCCAGGTAAGTATGTATAGGATTACAGTCTCACATTGCAATCCTAAGTGGGGTTGCAGATCCTCTGTCCTTTCCCAGGGCCTGCCTGGTTTCTCCAGTCAGGGCAGGAAGTGCAAGCATGGGGGGGGGGGGATAGTTTTCCATTTACCCATCTAGCATGATCCTCTGTTATGTTCTTCCATACGGGAAGGAAAGTAAGTGCACCAATTCCAGGCTGGTGTAGAGCTGGGGTGGCAGCTGTGCTCCCTCCCCTCTGGTGGACAAAGGTCCTCTGGCTTCAATGGATATAGAGTCTCCTCTGTCCTGGCTTATCCCAGAAATACCCCATTTTAGAGTCTATCATTAGTGGTAGATTGAAGCCTGGAGACCCTGCCAGCACCTTCTGGGTTGGAGGTACTCCTGCCAAAGCTCTTCTCCACTGGTGAAGGGGTACCTCTGCTTCATCCTAGCCCTCTTCAGATGGCTGCTGATGCATTTACGTTTCTTCTGCCCATCACTTTCAAAGAAGAATTTCAAATCCTGAAAATCCAGTTTACAACTTCATGCAGTGACAGACCAGGGTCTTCAAATGCCAGTGTCAAGCATTCCAGACCTCCATAGATAGGTATTACACAATGATCAGTTCACACTGTTGCACTGTGCAACGATTGATGATTTTGGGACACTTGGCTCCAAGGCTTTGGGGAGGCAGGGATGTTATTGTCTGTAAACACCACCACTCCTATTTATAACCATCTAGAGCAAAGGTAGCTGAATTCTGTATTCCTACAGTTCTTGTATTAAGAAAAAAAATCCAAATGGAAATATTTCATGGATGTGTGGAATATCTCTTACAGATGGGATTTTTTAATTTTTTTAAACAGATAATAATTTATCCTCCAGCATTTGTGTATTTATTTTATTAAAAATTAGAAATACAATAAAAGCAGTAAAACTACATCATCAGAATATAACCAAGAAAGGTAGCAAATAAACCTGCTATTTGTAAATCAATTCAAATAATCTGTAGATCAATTCAACCAATTAAAACCACAAGCAAAAATGTTGTGAGCAGGCACTGAAACAATCATAATGGCAGCAGTTGCATTCCCATAATCACACTTTAGATCATTATTTTTAAGCAGACATTTTTGTGATTTGACTAGGGGTGAAAGAGGAAAACAGGGTTTGCACCTGGCAGCACATATAGTTGGAGAGGGAAGCCCCTGCACTGCTGCATCAATGCCATTTCTTGTTTAAGAATAATCCATTCCTTAGGAACAGTGATGCAGCAATGCTTGCAGCAGAGTGACTGAGTGCAAGTGGAGCTAAATGCATTCACTCAGATTGAACTTTTCTGACCCTCACTGACATTACTCTGGTCTCGTCTTGTTTGCCCAGAAGAACCTTGTCACAGAGCCAAATGTTATAAGCTATGCGACATCATTGTTAATTTCAAGAAGGGCTATTTTCAAACAAAAAAGTGTGCCAAAGGAAACTGTGTCCCATAGGGCAAGGTTGCGAACTGCAGCAAACTAACATAGAACAGTTATGGGTGCAAATTGATAGATGATATTCTCGGTGATTAGAAGCTCCCTGGGTGTTTGATCACCCCATGCAGGGCAGGGAGATTGGTGGAAGAGATCTCTGCTCCGAAGATTTTACTAGATTTTCACTTCTTTCTGCACTGAAAAATGTTGGGGGAAAGGCATTGAAGCTCTCATTCTCAGCTCAAAGTTCAGAGTACTCCCTCTCTCCATGGAGCTGGGAATCCAGCCTACCCTATCCCCCTACAGGCAATGCCTAGGCCAGTGATGGTGAACCCTTTAGAGACCGAGTGCCCAAACTGCAACTCAAAACCCACTTATTTATCGCAAAGTGCCAGCACTGCAATAAAACTTGAATACTGAGGTTTGAGTTGAGAAAAAAACAACTCACAGCCAGTCCAAACAAATATACAGTGGCACCTTGGGTCACAAACTTAATTCGTTCCAGGACTCTGGTCATGACCCAAACTGGTCATGACCCAGGTTAAATTTCTCCATAAGGTTCAATGTAAATAAGGTTAATCTGTTCTGTAACTATTTTTTTAATCAGAAAAATGTGAAGCAAAGTGACAAAGAACAACAAAGATCATGGCCATCTCCTCCCCCCAGCTACGCTTAGCACGAGCACGGCCATCTCCATGCCCCCCCAGCCTGACCACAATCACTCCTGTCATCCCTGCATGCGCCTGTCATCCCGGGGGAGGGGAGGAAACTGGCGCAATCGCGGGCGCGCTGGGGGTGGGGGAGACGGGCACAATTGTGCTGGGGGGAGGGAGATGGCTGAGATCGTGGTTGCGTTCCTGTAGGAAAGACAGGCACAATCATGGGCGTTCTCGTGCAGGAGAGATGGGCGTGATCTTGGCCATGTCCCCCCTGCCCCCAGTAAGATCGTGGCCATCTCCCCACTCAGAGGGTAGGGAGATGGCCGCGATTGCAGTCACCACCCATTGCGAAGCTCGTGACCTGAGTCAAAATTTGTATGAAATTTTTGTTCGTGACCTGAGTTGGTCGTGAATTGAGGAGTTCATGAGCCAAGGTACCACTGTATATATATACTAGGCAGCACACTGACCGGCCATGCGAAAGCTTGGATGAGTCGCAGCTAATGAGACGCAGCTCATGATGTCATCACCTGGTGCTGCTACTCCTTTTTGAGCATGCACATGGCCCCTGCGTGCACTGTTATTCGATGCTGGGCTGCTGGGGCCATGCTGGGGCAACTTGGCTCACGTGCCAACAGAGAGGGCTCTGCATGCCTGCTGTGGCACACGTGCCATAGGTTCACCACCACTGGCCTAGGCTCATTCCCTCTGAACTCCACATATGAAAATGTTATTAACTGATGTGTACTTACACTAGCCTGCAGTCTGTATAATTAAAAATGTTCCAAATATGTGGGAGTGGGTGGACAAATTGGCCTTTAAGTTCCTAAGATAAAAGCCAGAATCACACATGATTCAGACTTTTATCTGGGACCTGAAAAGCTGATTTTACCACCCTTATTATAAGAGTTAAAATGATTAAGTTTCAATTTATGAATCAGTAACCCAAGCCCAGCAGAGAGACAACTGTCACAACTCGTAAAAGAGTAATTGCTCTATGCTTTCTTTTGGAGCTTGCTGCCATTTATGGACATTCACTGAAGGATTCTGCCCCTTCTATTATGCAGTGTATGAGCAGAAGCACACAGACTAGCCATCCCTGCCTATGGGCCTTCAGGTTATGCAGCCACTTCACATGTTAAATATGGCAGAGAGGAAAGTCTATACCTTCTATGGCCTTTGCTACTACAGAGAACTTTGGCAGCACAGAAACTAAATAAATACCTACACTTTACTCTAGCATATTTTTATGCTCAGTTCAGTTGCGTAGCTAACATCCAGATGCCACCAGCTCCAAATGTCATCAGCTCATACACGCTTAATACTGATTTCAATGGGACTAAAGCATGACTAATTTAGTCCAGAGCCCATACAAAGGATTGGAAATGTGTAATCAGCCATATTTTGTTCTCCTCAATGATTTTCATCTCCCATCACTATCTTTATGGAGGTGCTTTAACACTTTGCAAAATATTTTAACATCTAATGCTGGAACTTCTGTACAAATGAAATCAGTTATACTGCACTACAGTGATTAATGCACAGAAAGTGAAAAGCTGCCAATGAGATCTTAGAGAATGTGTGGGCTGACCCTTAAGATATATATTAAATGAAACACTTATGATGTCTGCTTTCCACTCTAAACTTTCAGTTAGTTGCTTAAAGCATGTTAAATATTAAATATATTTATTTGGACAAAAGGACATGCACATGGTGGGCATGTCGTGAGCGGAGCTGGCTGGTGCCGGAGGTCAGACTAGAGGCCCCGGGAGACCCCTTCTGATTCGCTCTGTTTCTATGTTTCTAAAAGGAATTGTGAAAATGCATCTCTGTCTATCTGTGTGTGTGCTGGGAAGGGATTTTAAAAGTTACTGCCAAAGAAAAGTTTAATTGCATGCACTTGATTAGACATTAACTCATGTGAAATGTCACTTATGGCAATTGAAACACATATCTGTGTTCATGCTGAGGTTTGGAGGGCCCACTCTTGATTACCAATGGGGGCACAAGGGAAGGTTTATTTAGGTAGGATTTTATGCTGTGTGGTGGGTTATGTTTTATACTATGGTTTTTATTATATTAGGAATGTATTGTGCATCATAGCTTTTCTGAAAAGGAAAGTGGTAATTCAGAGTATCTATTGTAAACATGGAATAGACATCTCACTAAACAGCTGATACAGAGGTATCACCTTATGTTGATGTGATTGAGAGCTATTTGATGGATTCTTCCAACTGTCATTTGATGCTGTGGAGGCTGAAAAAATATAATTGCGTATTTTTGGATGTTGGTACTGTAGGGTAGCAAAAGCTGACATGCCTATACAGTAATAACGTTCTTGTTTAGTCATTTTGGAAGCACATAGTGGAAAAGTGATAGTAAAAGTTCTAATAAAAGTGTGCCATAGATTCAGTGATTGTATAGTGCACATGAAAGGGATGCAATTCTAAAGTACTGTTGATGTATACCTTACTTGACACAGCCAGGATTTTAATTGTACAGTTTTAGAAAAAGGAAACTCTGATGGAAACAGGAAGATGAATCAATCAGTAGTTTGAAGTTATCATATACAACAATATGTTGCAGTATGACAGTCTCGTATTCTTCTCAAGAATATTGTGCTCTTTCCTTTCTCCCATCTTTGCATGCCCAATCAGTCAACTTTCTGTGGTTGTTCAGCAAATACACTTCTCATTAGCCAGTTTTTAGCTTCTGTCCCAC